CAAAAGCAAACTACGGCTGTCATTTATGTTATCATTTAAATTATATTGCATTTCCTACAGATTATTTTGAAGATTAATAGAGAAATCTATGTTCATAAAAGGCCACACAAATGGATATTAATAAAGCATGCACAGCCTTTCAAAGACTCTAAAATATATTCAAACCACGAAGCTTTAGCAAAGACTTAATTGAAAAACTATACAAACACCACTGGGGCCCCCTCAGGGCCTTTAAGGCCTGCTGAGAAAATCTGTGAAATAACAAAAATACATGACTACTTTTTAGTTCATTTTTATTTAATACAATCATCATGCTTTTTGTATTTTTGCAATCTAGAATGGAAAAAAGTGTTCATATGAATCACTGTTAGCTTAGCAATAACATATCACTAGAATCCCATAGGGGTGTTAGCAGAAATTAGCATCATAGAGGAGCTTTTTTTCCTTTTTTTTAATCTGAGCTATGGCTATACGTGTCATTGGAGTCTATTTTTTACTGTAAAAGAGAGCAGTAGGACAATTTAAAATATGCATTATCATCATGCAAATTACCAATTAATCTTTCCTGATTGATCAAGAAGTAATTAAATTTTACAGCGTAATTAGCGAAGACAGTGTGGAATTAATGAAAGCACACAAGAATGGCAAAAAGACCATAGTGATATTGTACCAGTCCAGGGATGCAGTCTGATGTATTCTATTTCTAGACCACTGAACAACTGCATGTATCATAAACGGGCAAATTTATACTAATTATAGAGCCTGTGAACAACAGCCAGTGCATAGTAACTGCATGAACTGCACAGTAACAAGTGGCTGATTGGGTGCCAACTCAATATGACATCTTATTTTATTAATTTATGCTCACCATTCATGTCCGTTGTATTCACAGTTTTTCATAGCCTTAGTCTACACTACTCTACTCAGAAAAACTAAATATGGTTATACATATCATGTATTGTAAAATGTTTTCAAGTACCGTGATGTTATATTTTTACCATTATTGCCCGTCCTTATCTCTAAACATTGACACGCAGGCTCAGGACATGGCCTCCCTGATTAGACTGCAGCTTAAATGGTGCAAATGGACAGGTGCTCTTTCCAGATGTTTTGGCTTGGCTGTTTCTGAGGATCAAATCTGACTCTGTGTTTTTTAACAGCTTATTAACTCAGCAGGCCACTAATGCCATCTAGTGGAGACATTATGCCAGTTCACCTCTCAGTGTTGCATTGCTAGCTGTCCACATAATCCAATTATGGATTTATTTTTACACCCCTACTCGTTAAAGTTACTACAGTTGTATGACGTCATATTAGCTTTTTTTAATCTTCAGTGTCTAATTCTAATACGTGCCTGTATTACTGCATTTCTGTATGCACTTGTGGGAATGCAACTTCGTCTTTAGTCACGTCAGTAATATTTATGATTATGTACTGTAACGTTGCCTTAGGAGTTTCCTTTCATTTTAGCTCTAACGGATGAAAAGAATTCTAAGCAGGCTACTCTACTGTAACTAGATTTAAGGTAAAAGTTGACCAGCCCTTCCAGCAGGGCTAGATTCCAGGCCGCCGATGAAGTGATGGTTCAGTCCACATGAGTGTTACGGAGCCAGCCATCAAACCTGTCGGACTCGCCTTCACTTTTATATCATAATCAGAGATCTGTTTTGTTGTTTTCTTTATTCAAAAGTGAGAACTGATCCCAGATCAGCACAACACGACTGTCTAGACTAGAGCATCTGAAAACAGGTTCTGGGCCTGTACACCTACAAGCACAACTGCTCAGTTTTTTTTCACTTGGCTGTGAAAAAGCATGTTGGGATGACATGTTTTGTTTCTTTTAGGTTCCTCAGACGAATGGAATCCCTAAGCCACCTCCTTTCCTAGGGTAAGTGTGCCAGTAATGAAGTGCAACCAAATCTACCAGCTGGAAAAAAGATCTTTTCAGCAAATGTAATTGCATCACAAAGAAAATCAAGATTTAAATTCTGCAGTATTTTTTGAGCTTTTTCTTTCTGTAAAACTATTCAAATCCCTGAAGGAACTTAGAAAGTGTTACGTTTCTCATAAATGGTTTTTTATAGAATTTACAATACAGTGTACAGAGAAACTTGTCTGTGGTGCTACAGATTACAAATGTAAATGATTAACCGATTATCCCATTCCCAGAAAAGCCGGTGCAGTAGTTAAAATGCAAAAAAAACAAAACACGGTGATTTATAAGCAGTGATCTATAAATCTATTTGTATTTGAAAAAAAGCAATACAACAGCATGAAGTAATGAGTAATCTTATCAACTCATCTTCATTGTTTTTGTAAAAATAAGTTCATTCTGAGATTGATGCAACAATAGGTTCCAGAAAATTTAAACAAGTGATATTATTATTATTATTATTATTATTATTAGTTGTAGTAGTAGTAGTATTAAGTGTTGTTATAAGGAAATATAACGTAATGATAAACATACTCCTTTCCAAAGCTTTTTGGAACATGTTGCAGACATCATGGAATTAGCATAAAAACTATTAACTTTATAAAATAAAACATCAAATATTGTGTTTTTGTACTGTTTTTGATTGAATACGGGCAGAAAACGCACCCACAAACATTATCTAAGCCACTTATCCATCTGGGTCGCGGGGGGTGCTGAAGCCTATCCCAGTAGTCACTGGACGGAAGGCAGGAAACACCCTGGATGGGTCGCCAGTCCACAGGGCACGGGTTAAACAGAATTTACTAATTACTGCTTTCTGTTTTAATTAGCATTTCACATACTTTTTTGGAACTGGGTATGTTCATTTGATCTTGGGCTTGTAATGAGTGAACTTTAGAATATAGAATTTTCAGTTGTGTATTCCAGTCACGTTTTGTATTTGCTTATAGAATCATGAACATATTACAGTTGTCAGTCCCTTTGTATAAACAAAAATAGGTTCGTATTTAGGTTATGGTTAAAGTGGTTTTGGGAAGTTTACTTCAAATACACAATTATGCCCGGCCTCACCTTTTAGTACTACATTCCACGGTCCATACAAGAAACACATTTTAATATCTCATTAATTAATACAGAATTGAGCTGATGTGTGCACTCCTAAGTGTGCATATGTTATATAGTTCACACTGGCTTCAAACAAGCCATTTAGGTTTCGGAACCACAACTATTGTTACCACTTTATAATTGATATTTTAATGAGTTGTGTCTCTGATTTTATGTTTGCCAAAATATCCATCCCTCCCAGACATGATGCAGAGAGAGCATACTGTATGACAACCAGTGCCAGCGCCATTTCCACAGTTACATAATATGCCAATCTGATTATCAGTCAAAGCTCAAAAAACATGCACACACCTGTCTCGGCCTTATCAGACTGTCATTTCTTCTCAGGGGAGGAAACCCCTTCGCCACTGTGAAGCTGCGGCCCACCGTTACCAACGACAGATCGGCTCCTATCATCTGATCGTGACCACCAGCTTCCAGCCCACAGCCGTCAGCATCTAAAACCACCACCACCAGTAACTCACATTAAAAGTGCAGACAGCACTCCTGTCTGCAAACTGACTGCGTCACACAAGAGCTTTGAAACCGGCTTCAGTGGATTTGGACAAAGAAACTCCACTAGAGATGGCATTTTGATTTAACCAGCGTTTGCTCACTGCACACAATCACCACAAGATGGACAACATGTTTATTTATGTACCTTATAAGAGCCAATATATGTTCACTTTTTGTTGACGTTTGACTGTGTTGCTAAAAGGGATAACGTCCCAGGCCCAATTGAAAAGAGCAAGAGCAGAGGTAGAAAACAGACCTACTCCTATAATCTAAACGGTTATGCGAAATATATTGTCTCGGGTCTGAAGTCTTAGCCAAGACGCTGGTGTTTGCTTTTATGTTGCGTGAATAGCATGTTGACATTGACTGGATTCCAGCTTGTTGAAATATCTGTTGAGAATTTCCTGTTGCCATAGGACAGTTGCTGAATGTATGTGGGACTGAATTTGAGCAAGAGTCCAGATTATAGTGTTGTGGTGGTAATCGTGCAGGGATATATTGTTGCTGTCGTAAAGGCAAACTTGTATCTCCAAAACGGAAAGGATAAAACATTTTAGCTTTAATGTACTTTAATGTAAAAAGATCTTATTCAAAGCTTTTTGGACTGTTTCTGTTGGTCCATTGTTGTTTAAATGTTTACACCATGTAAACAACAGATGCCGTTTTCAAATGATGAAAAAAAGTTTAAAAAGATGAAAAAAATGGATTTACAAGATTTTAAGATGACAGTGACAATATCAGCTTATTTAAAGTCTCAAACATCATGGCTAATGGTACACTAGAACTAAAGATTTGTTTTGATTCTGAATGGTTGGTCTGAGCATTCATAGACAACAAAGCTTTGCTTATGTAGAAATGCTATACATTACGAAAGCATTCAGAAATAGTATTTAATATTGTTTTTTGTCAGAAAGGACACATTTGCCTTAATTTAACACTTTTTTCCTATCACTGTCATTGAAAATAATTTATCTCTCAGTGAGTGAATACTGTTCAGAAGCGTACAGTATGTCTTCAAGAATCACTTTGATGAAACAGACCTTATAATTATGTACAATAGGCAGTAATTGCACTTGATGCTTCAGGGAAGCCATTCATTTGCTGTTTTATCGATGCACTTCTTTTCTCTTGCTGCAGCCCTTCAATTGCCCTGTGGATCACAGCTGTATAAAAATAAAAATGTTTTATTTCTTGACTAGAGCTATTTATAAACCTCTTCTTACACAGATCAGTGATTTGATCACTGACTACATGGTAAGTATTTGTTATTCTCAGTCTAAAGGTAAAGCTTTTGACTTGCACAAGGTAGGATGTTAGTCTCCTGCTTGGCAAAGACTGTAATTAGATTTGTTCCATCAGCGAAACAAACAAAGGGGAAAAAAAACATTCAATATGAGGACTCAGCAAACTGGGAACGATATGAACAAAGTCAACTTTGACTCAAAGGCCGCATTCATAGAATTTTATTTACATTATCTCTCATATAAAAAGTCTGAACCTATCATTACAGCGTGCGTAGTGTTCTAAAGCAAATCAAATACCCTCGACTATGTTTAATTACATCAGGAAAGAATGGTGGCAAAGACATGACATTCTGCAATAACTGGAAAAATCACAGGTGCACAGAGGGACATTCATTATAGACTGATTGTCTTTCACTGGGAGAGTAAAGATAGTATTGTAGCAGACTTCAGCAACACAGTATCCGTTCTCTGGGTCAAACGAAAAGATCTACATTCTAGATCAGAGGTCTTTAGATCCAGACCTTAAGTGCAGTTTCCAGTTGGGGAGTTTATAATCATTGGTAGACAAGACAATATTTGGACAATCAGTAACAATAACAGTTCTGTTAACTAGCAATGATTACAAAATACAGGACGAGAAACTAGATTCAAGGTCTGGATTTGAAGACTGCGGCTCTAGACAGTTCTACCCAGCTGACCTCTATCCATGTTCTGCCCACAAGTGAGTCTGTTTGCAGCACCTATTGCAATGATTAACAAGCATGTTGGCAAAAATATCATTCTTTGCTATCTTTGTTAAGAGTCACACTACACCAGTAAATTTTCTTGTTTAAAATGTTCCACTACTGGGCTGAACTGAATAATTATAGCTAGTCAAAACTAAACAAGCAGAAATGATACCAAATTTGCTACTATGCTAAACTGAGCTTTATTACACAAAACTACGCCCACTCTATCCTAAGAGTGCCCTTTCACAAGCATACAAAATAAACATAACTTGAACAGTGCACTCCAAGTTTAGGTAGTTTGGTACTTACAAAAAATGTAAATACAGTGAATCAAATTTTTGCCCATATTCTGGAAAGTGTGCCTAAACCAGCAGCTACAAAAGAACACTTCTGTGGGCAGAGCATGGAAAGGTCAATTACTTGCCTATGAAGGAGATCAATTAAATTAACTAGAGTTAAACTTAAAAAAAAAAATAAAAAATTACCACCTAACACTGATCAATAGCGCAGTGCTAATCAGAACATGGTTTATCAAATAACAGACAGCAGGCTGTTTCTCAAAAGACTGATGTTCTTAGCTGAGATGTAAATATCCCCAACTTACAAATTCCACAGTGTGTACTGAGCTAGAAAGAATGAGCTCAGTATGAAGGTAATGGTTAAATGTACTTCTACAGGCCTGAAGAACCTGTTGAGGAGAAGGGAGAGGAGGTGGTTTGGTCTTCTAGAAGCAGGATCACATGATTTAAAATTGGGTGGAGAACATGCTCAGCACTGTGAACAAGGCTGATTAGATAAAACGTGGCACTGATTTCCTTCCGTACACAAGCAAAAGCACCAGGCAGCTTACATTCTCATCTCTTGCAAATACAGAGAGGAAATCCCCATCGGTACAAGGAAAAAGACCAGAAAAGTGTGGTGTGATTAAAACGAAGCATCAGCAAAGTCTTTCTGTCATTTATAAACAGGATTTCACTCAGGTTGAGTCACCTTAGCAGTTCAAAGGGTGATCATGATCTCTGTTTTTCTTTCCTTGCCAAGTTCTTTTATGGTCTCCATGCTTCGGTAGCCTACAGTTCTAAGTAGTGGCCATCTTAAAGGCACCGGTGATTGGATGACAGAGGTCTCGCCTGCATGGTCAAATAAAGAAAATGCTCAACAAAATCAACAGTCTTTAGAGGTGGGAGAAAAAAGCGAAAACTTAAATTGTTTTTTTTCACGGTCACTAAGTCTTGAAGAAGAAAAAGAAAAAGGAACCATGCGGCTGTTCATTATCAAGATTTGGACTATCAAAGTACATAAGATGTGCAATTATTACTTTTTTTTAACAACATTGATGCATAAAATATGAATTAAAAAAGAAGAAAAAAGCGATGGTCATTGGGCCCCGAATGGTGGCTGCAGCGTGGTCCCTCTAGCCAAATGTGGCTCCGCAGTTGGGACACCTCCTCTGCCGCAGGGCCAGGCAGAAGAGGATGCCCAGGGGAAAGAACAGAATGGCACACATGATCCCCAGACAGGTGAAGTCATCCTCCAGCACCCCCACCCTGTAAACAAAAGAGCACAGTGCCATCAAAACTCTATTACAAGATTACTACTCCTACACAATGTAGAGCCAACATTTACAGCAGTTGCCAGTTTCTTACCACTGAAATATTTAATTTACAGCTATATTCAAGTGCATTAAAAAGTCTAATCCTAAGGAAGAAAAAACATTTTCCTGAAAACATATCAGTGACAAAAATGATTATTTTTGTGAAGGCTTTCTGGCTATTCATATCCCGAAACTGGCCGAACAGGACTATAATCAACAGGTGTATTATTAGAATATTAAGGTTTTACAGCCTGACACTACTAGTCCTCCAGATGTAGGCAAGGACTCAATATTCTACCAGTGACAAACACAATACTTTCTGCAGGTAGGTGAAAGTAGGTGAAAGGCAAACAACCTCAACAACCTCTACAAGCTTGATGCATTCTGATACATGTGTCCCAGTAATTACACTGAATGCTGAGGTCATGGAATGAATGTTCAAGCATACACCCATAAACGGCAGTTTTTCCTTTTTTAAGTTTTAAAAATGTCCTTTTGAGGCATTAGAAATAGTCATCTCAAGCTTTTAAGGGACCATATCCTATATTATTCTTGTATTCGATTTGAGATCCACTTTTTTGTTTGGTTATTTGAGATCCATTTTTGTTTGGTTATATGTACCAAACAGTTCAATTCATTTGTACATGACCTTTTTCCAACCTTTTTATGTTTTAGAATTAAGCAGACTGTTCTTCTGACTTTAAGACTGATACATACATAAATGATCTCAGTACTGACTGACTGCTCTGTACTGTGCCTTGTTTCAAAAAGCAGACTGGGTTGAAACACGCTTTATAACTTCAGTGTTAATAGCTTATCCGCTGTCGGCTCAGTTAGTAGTATTCTGATGGCGTCACAATCGTGCTGCCACCATTTTGGTAGGCAACATTACGTTCGTTCAGCAGTGCTGTGGTGGTGGAAGAGAGATAACAAGGCATAACAGATCCAGCAAAGGCAATAAAACTATTTTTTTTAAAACACTTTTTAAATATCATTTTTTAAGCGTATTAACCAATGTAGTTGAAGGTACTGACTTGATTTTATTTCATTGTGTGGTGACAACAAACAAAAGCTAAAATCTAAATGGCTGACATTTCCCTGCATACGAGCACACTAAATATCTGTAAGTATGTAAAATTGCAGATATACCCTTAGCAGTGCACTCATTAGTGTAGTAGGTGAAATACAGAAGTGTTTGGTTTGGGACGCGGTATTAGATCGGCCAGTGAAACGAGTTCAGCAACTCCAATGGCTGATTATACCTCCGCTGTGCTGCTCTTTAGCTGTTAGTAAACATCTCCAAGTGAAAGTTTAAGATATTTGTTAATTAAGTAGCATTTATTGAGGTAAACTGATGCACTAATGGAGGTAAGCTGATGCTGGCCTCGTATTTGCCAACTTGCGAAATTTGTTCTACATTTAAGGCAGCTCAGTGTAACTGCAGCACCACTTAAGGTAGAACGGAAAATTCAAATGAGAAGCAGGCCTGAGCTTGTGGCGTCGTGTCCACTTATCTTTTTGTCTTTTTTGTGGTCATTCTGGTCTATTTTGATTGGTTTTTATCCACCGGCAGGGTTGTAGCTGCAGTAGCGGTGATGAGACAAGCTAAATCAGAGCACAGAGTTACAGCTCGCCTACCAACATGGCAACATGCTCTTCTTAAATTATATGCAAATGTGATGGTTTGTGTGATGTCACAAACACAGTGAATTCAAACTCAGACTGTTTTTGCAACTTGGAATAAACTAGAGAGTGACTGGTGTGTTTTGTAGCAGTAATAATATTTACATTCTACATCAAACTAATTTAAAAAAAGTAAGGAAAATTCAGTTTTTCAGGATATGAGCCCTTTAATGAATTCAGCATTCCTTGTATGGAGTTTTGGAGAGTTGTTTACATTAAAATCAAAACAAATATACCAGCTATTACAAAGAACCAATTCAAAAGCAAAATGCCCTCTACATAAACTCTGATCAAGGTCCAAACATCAGTGCGACTGTAAGCAACTGTAAGCAATCTTTTATTTGCGTTGGACTAGAGTTGAGAGTGACATCAGAAACATCATGAGTTCTATCCATCATGACTAGGCTGATTTTTCTGCATAAACCCAATGTGACTCTGAGTGTGACCAGACTTTCACTCAATCACATGAACACAGAGGAACTTAAATACACAGAAGAATGACACTGTTGATACACCGAGACCCAGAAAGCAGAGGACAGCTGAAGACAGTTCAGGCCTTTATTAAGAGTTTCAAATCAATCCATTTTTTTTAAACAGGGTTTCAAAATGTTATACTCATCAAAATGGACTGCTGCACTAAAGACACCAAAGTGGGACGAAAGTTACCTTAGAATCATCGTCAAAGAAAACGTGTGATATGATGATTTTAACCAGTCAAAACAATATATTTTTACACTAACCAATAATATGATGTGTGATCAGATGTGTGATTAAAACATGCAGAAGAAACAGGTGCCTAATAAAGATAAGAAATAATCTTTTGGAAAAAAGCACTGTAGACTGTATAAACCAAGATAAGAACGTTTCCCATGAACACATAAGTCAGACTTCTTGTTTTTATGTTTGACAAACATAACTGAACAGCTCAATATGACAACACAATGACAACTATTCAAGAATGTGCTCACTATTATCTTTCACCTTTGAAAGTTTATTATTTTTATTATTTTGTAATTGACCTATAAAAGTCACCCGCTGGAAACAGATGAAATGTGATGATAGGTTGTCTAAACGTGGTACCATAAAAAAGTATTTATTTTCAACTAAACTTACTCGTCTGTTGTTAACTTCTGAATATTTCTTTCACAGCCCAGACCAGACATCTGAACCCTCTTCAGTTATTAATATCGGACATTAAATCTTTTCAAAACAGAAAATCGAATAGACGCATTCAGGCTTTCAAAAGTCTGCATCTCTATTGGAGTAAATAGGTGTGAAAGCTCCAGAAACGCAGTGTGGGCTGCCTGACTGCTGGCCTCATTCAAATGTCTGTCATGTGCTTGCCAGGGCTGACAGGAAGAGGAGCCTACAGAAACCACTATGGTCATAATCCACAGCAGCAGTCAGCAACTTCGCATCTGAAACTTGTGCCTCTCTGTTCTATTTCTTATCATAAGGAAACCAAGTTTTGCAAAGTTACATTTTCATGTTGTGATGAAAACGAAACAATCTAGGGGTCAACAACTGTCAATCTGGAGACCCACCTAACTGCAGATTTCCAAACTTAATCTGGCTCACCAGATACAAAAAGTCAAACAAGGAGCTCGGCAAAGTTTGGGTTGAAACTAAATAATCACTCAGGTCTATCGGTCTATTTTTACTGAATCAGCCCATACAGCCCAGCTTCATCCATTCTACTAGCACCAGGAGCATCTAGCATACAAGCTAAGCATATTCACATCCCAGCATCCACAAATAACAACACTAATGTGATCTCAATGTCCATTCTGTCAACAAACAAATGCAGTGAAACTCTTGTTGCCACTGGCTACATAATCTGGTCTGTTTACACTCTCAGGCTGTATGTCTGTCCAGAATTTATGGCTTGGAACTGAACTCTGCAGAAAGGCACATCTCCAGGATCACAAGGATCACCGGTAGTATATGCGCTCTCTTATCAATTTCTGATGTACAGAAGTCTTCTTTCTTCACGGACATCATGCTGCTTTATTCACAGAGATATACTCTGTAACACTGAGAACGTGTGTAAACATTTGACAGCCTACCAGATATGACGGGTTAATACGTTCTTAGTATAGTTACAATGTTGTGAAGTAAATTTCCTCACCTGCAGGCTGGGCATCCTCCCACCACCACTACAGAGGGCTGGACGATAGTGTACGTGCTGGTACAGTTTGGTTGCTGGCCGATGGCAGCGGCTGGGGCAGCAGGTGCTGGGAAGGCTAAAGAAAAGAATAAGTAGGAAGAAGTACATAATTAAAGCTTTCTGCCTTTCTGAGACACACAGACGGAGATCAGAGAAAAGGGCATTTTCTAAACAAGTTATTCTTTCTTAAAGATTTTTCTGAATATTTTATGGTCCATACATAATGCCTGATCACTGTTCTAATGAGAGCAAAAGCATGCGTGAGTTGTGTGTACCATCACTGTTTCTGTGTGAAAGCTTTTGTAACTGACGGTGGGTCGTAACTAGTTCTCAGTTACAAGCAAAAGCTTAATAGATTCATACAGATTCATTTTCAGAGTATTTTCAAAAGACAATACCGCAACTCCACTCAAGTACATTTGTGTATCTGTGAACAAAGGCATCTACTGTTGACTCGTGAACGTTACATGTGAACGTTCAGTCACTAATTCCTTTTTTGTGTTTCATTTCACTATATTACATTGGTGATAGCAGCTGTTTTTGTGTGATTGCTCACACCTCTGATTTTCTTGCTTTGTCATTTTGTTTTAGACCAAAAAGATCCCAAAAATGAAAGGATAAAGCCAAACGAATAAAAGTTCCTACACTGGTATATGCTGGACGTACTAAAAAGCACCACAGTGGTTCTATATGAAACTCAGTGCTTGTACACTTTTACTCAACTTGTCTTTTGGTACTTCTACTTGAGTCCTTATTCCACTAAAGTAACAGTACATGATCTGATTTGTTTTGGTCATCTTTAAACCTGGGTTTAGGCTACTCTACTCTAACATCTCCTGTTGTAAGAGCAACAAAAACTACAAAGAACACCAGGTACTGTTTGTAGAGCGATTGGGATATTAAATAACTGCCAAAACAGCCTCTTGCAGACTAAATAATGACAAATCTTTCTGTATTTAAAATGACTGTAAAGAGCAAGAAATGTGTTCAAGTCACAGAACACAGAACAGCCTTCTTTACACGCAATGGAAAGTGAAAGCACACACGCCCGAGTTAATCACTGAGAGGAAACAACTCAGAGGGAAAAAAAACAGCTAAGAAAATCACCCTTACAGTAATTTAGGACGACTGATAATAGAAAATAAGCACAGAAAGATGTTCGAGTATTGAAAAAAAAAAGATTCAAAATGAGTACACACAACTAAATTTAGTAAATTTAGTATGATAAGAAAAACCGCCACATACGTTGCTCTTCGATGAACATTAACAGCAGCCATTACTGCTAGTACAGGTAGCTAACGTTCACACCTTGGCTTTTGGTCACGAACACTTATATTTAGTTTTTGTTTTGTTTTTTTTTGTTTTTTTTAGAACATTTACATTTTCTGTTCTGTTTAAAACTACGGTTCGGTCAGATTTGTGCTCAGCGAACCTGAAGACCAAAGGAAATCTAACTATTCAGATACAGATCTTAATGGTTTAAACCACACTAAAATCTCCTACAGCCTGTTCTTTTAATCGTAGGAATATATTAAGAAATCGTGGCCACGAATAAAAGAAAATGTACGCACAACTCGCAAACCGTTCCCTCAAAATAATTTTTATGTTTACCCCCTGCCCTCCTCACGGCTCCGTACACATGACAGCCTAAACAGTCTGATATGTGCCACGGGGGCAGGTTACAATTCCGCCAGAGTTGCTTTGTATGCAAAGCCAGATTTATTAATAGCCTGGCTTACCTTGGCCGGGCGGTGGTGGGTAGTGATAGGGCGGAGGCGCGGGAGCGGGCGACGGGATGGCCCCGTACTCATAAGCCCCGGGAACGGCGTTGTACGCTGGGGGTCTGTCCTGTAGAAGAGGTTTATTATCCATTTCCAAAAAGACCGACGGGAGGCGTCCTGTTCGCGGGTATTAACGTGAATATTAATAACGCGTTTAACAGACGACCGTGGACTCTTTCTTCGCTTTTCGTGAAGAAAACACGACGAAGGAAACCGTAACTTCACCGTCCTCCATGCGCCAACTTTGTCGCCCGACTGTAAGACCTAAAGCGCCCTCAAATCTCTCAGACTCGAGGGAGGAATGACGGTTAGGGAACGTGCGGATTTACTCTAAAGAACCGCCATAACGACCCTGAGTCGATTTCTCTCAGGCTGAAGAGAAAATGGACAACAGTGACTAAAACTCCTTTAACAAACTCAAAAATCGTTACTCTGCTGTCTGGCGTGTCACAAGACAGCAGTCATGTGACGAAGGGGGACGCGCGCGCCCGCACGGAGGAGCGCTTCTTAAAGAGACAGTGCCCTATTTGAGGAGCACGCGCTAGGGCTCGATTCCAAACGGACGTTAAAATATATCAGACGGTTAGTACAAAAAACACGTCTTCTCTGCGTCTAACAATATTATTGTAAAGATTTGATATTTAATGTGTATTTATCTTGAAGGTGTGATTTATTTACTCAAAATTATGATCTATTATATTAGATCCTAAAATAACTCTCGCAAATCTATTACTGTTCATTTTGATTTATAAGTGAAGAAATGTGAAGAATATAATTCACTATTTTAATATAATACTGTAGTATCCTCACGCGCAGTAGAGGCTCGGGGGTGTGCCCATGCGAAGCACCGCCAGGAGGCTCATGGGGGGAGCACACCCTCTGGAAAAGGGATTGTTTATTGTTGTTTATGTTGTCTTCTGTTAGTTTAAAATGTGTGTTAGTGTTACTTGGGTTATTCTGTGCTGGGCAGTGGGTTTAGGTAGATGTGCTAGAGTGTCAACCATGAAGCAGAGATGTATGGCTGATGCTTATGTTTTTTTCTGCTGATTGTGCAATGCAGAGTTTCAATGCGAATAATTCCCTAAATTAAAGTGTTGGGTAACGGTTTCTTGTGTGGGTGCTACGGAGGAGGTACACAGTATTTTGAAACAGAAAGATGAAATTCTAACGTAATCACATGTTAATTTGCTGTGGTCATGGGTTAGTCATGGGTTAGTTATGGGTTGGAGGTTAGGTAACTAGCCTTGTGACTGGAAGGTCACTGGTTCGATCCCCTTGATTGAAGTGCCGTTGAGCAAGGCATCTAACCCCCAAGTGCTCCCTAGGCGCCGTGGATAGGGCTGCCAACCGCTCCGGGCAAGTGTGCTCACCACCCCCCAGTGTGTGTGTTCTCTAGTGTGCATGTATGTGGGTGTTTCACTGCATGGATGGGTTAAATGCAGAGGTCTAATTCCTCTGTGTGCAAAACACAGTTGGCTAATGGTTCTGAATTCTAATTCTAATTCTTCTAATTCATACAGCTGACAGAAGAACACAGAGAGTAATTGTGGGTGATTTTATTTCAGTGGAAATGGGCTTCCACATTATAGTGCATTGTTTGAGTTCAGCCCTAATACTTTACCAACTACGTAGTGCACTATACAGGGAGAAGGGAGCAATTTAAGATAGAGCCTTGCACACTGCAGGGTTTCCTTCAGAGCAAGGGCTAGCTTAAACATTTTAAATTTGATCTTTCATTTTCTGGTGAAAAACTATTTGTAACTCCTTAAATAAAAATGGCTTAAAAACCGGTCAAGGGCAGCGTGTGTTTTTCCTGAGAGTAATAATAGCAGATTATAACAGGTATACATTGTCGTTTTATTCTGATAAAAATGAACATAGACTGGATGAAGGTAAATGTCTGTGAGAAACAGACGGTGTAAGTTAACTCATGACCGTTAATTATTGATTCGGTAAAGAATGAATAATTGAAAATGCAAAAGTGCGTGTATAACAACCGTAGAAAACAAGCCCCTCCCACCACACAGAAACCAGTGCGACTGTCCAATCACATGCGTGGATTTCTGAGCTCTTCTGCTCGCTAACCAATCCGAATTAAAGCAGCCCTGCTTCCTGTTGAGGGTTTCAGAGCCCGTTATAATATTGCCCTGGAATAAGAAGAATAAACTGATGATAATATTTATGAGGGACGGGATGGACGCTGGATCTCCGCGGACTGCTTCGACAATATAAAGTGTAAGTTTGCATGTGAACCTCTTCAAACGGCGATTTGCCTTTTGCTTCTCTGAGGCGCAGTAACGCGAGATCAGGTGGTTCAGTGGAGGAATTTATAACCGTCGTGTCCTTTAAAACGATAAAACAAGTTGACTGTAGAGCTAGAAGAACCTGTTAATGTTTAAAACTTATGTAAGCCTGCTTTATTTGACCTACTTGGTCAGTGGGCTGTGTTGGTGTCCAGTGTCATTAGATGACCGTGTCACTCTTTAGAGAGTTTGTTTTCTTCAGTAGCTTAGCTTAGCTGGCACAAACACATCTGTTATCAGCTCTGCTAACGCGACAGTGCACATTCTGCTGGGTTTGTTGTAGTAAAATAGGAAACTTTCTGACCTGTAAAAGTAAATGCCAGAGAAATTACACTTCTCGAGAAGTTAGCAGTTTTATCTGCTCAAAAGGTGAGAGCTGGTCTACTGTAATGTCTTGGAAGCCCATTCTTGTCATTATATATATATATATATATATATATACAATATATATATATATATATATATATATACAATATATATTAAATATGTACAATTACTGCTTTTTCTTTTGAGATGCTAAATCATTATTTTGAGATACCAAGTCAGTATTTTGAAATACTATCTCATTCTTTTGAGATACTATCTCATTATTTTGAAATACTATCTCATTATTTTGAGATACAAACTCATTATTTTGAAATACTATCTCATTATTTTGAGATACAAACTCATTATTTTAAACACTATTATTATTAATACTATTATTTTGAAAAGTTTTTTAGATATTGTCTCATTATTTTGAGATAATAAGTCATTATTTTGAGATCTTATCTCATTATTTCGAGCTGTGGCTCAGTATTTTGAGAAACTTTCTCGTTATTTTGACATGCTTTATGCTTTTGAGATGAAACTTATATATTTAAATAATGAGAGTTTATCAAAATGACTAGATAGTGAGAAATAATAATAAGAAAGCATCTCAAATTAATAGCATAGCCATTACTTGTTATCTCACAATAATGTCATAGCAGTTCACTTATTAATGAATAAAATGAAAGTTAGGTGGTAGATCTTTTGATTTTAAGTGGTGGGAATGGGCTTCCATACTCAGAGGATAAGACTGAACTGTTGTAAAATATATGAGCGTGCCCTCCCTGTGTCTCTAGTTTTCTAGGGGGCCCGACATGCCAGGATCCCTCCTGTGGGCCGTGGATGTGTATGGGAGGGTGTTCAGCCTGTGCACCACTGGAGGGCGCTGGAAACGGTCTAAAGATGTTTTACTGGAGCTGAAACGGGTCACAGCTGCTGAGCAATGCTGCTGGGGCATCGGTTGTGACCATCAGGTCTATCTTAATGTACTCCCAAGTGATGTGCCTATCCGCCACCAAGAGGAGACGTATGAGAACCAGGTACAGTATTCAGCAAGCTATACATACAGTAAATGTACACAAGTTTCTGATTAATGAACTCGGTTACTTTAAGGTGCATCCATTGCTGACACAGGCGTTCAGTTGGGCATACAGCTTGTATAATCTCTATAGAGAAGCACTGGTGCAGCCGGACATGAGCCTAAGGTCACAATGCCCACAATGCCAAGTGTTGCCTTGAGGGGTATAAAGCCCCCCAGCATTGGACTGTGGAGCAGTGAAACTGCATTTTCTAAAGTGACTGAGCTCCATCTAATACTTTTGGGATGAGTTGATCAAGAACAAATCATCCAACATCAGTACCTGACCTCACTAACGATCTTGTGGCTGAATACAATTAAATCCTCACAACAATACTCCAACATCTAGTGCCCCGGAAGAGTAGAGGCTGTTACATTTCAGAAGACACGTTGGATGAGCAGTTGTCTACAAACTTTTGGACATATAGTGTATGTGGTGTTTGGAGTTGTGAGACTCTGACCTGACAACGTTTCGATTGGGATTCTTTAGAAAACAATTAAATGAAAACTAAATCGATGGAAAGAAATCATGAAAGCAAACCTAGCTAAGATTTCTTCATGATTTCATTTGTTTTGGTTATTTTGGAACAATTCATAATTATTTTTAAAAATGTATTGAGTACACAAATTTGATTGGAAGAACTATTTATGTAGTGTGTCTCTTTTTTATAACATATTTATTTAATTATTTATTTTTGGCCTTTATTACAGCTTCACGCCTCTAAAGTTCAGTCTAAGAAGTTAGTTGCATTTTCTGCTTCTCATGATCCAAGTTACCCCAAACACATTCAGTGATGTTGAGGTCTGGACTCTGGGATGGTCAGTTCATTGTTCTGAAAACACCAACAGCTTCTTTGTTTGCAAACTTTCTACTTTTTGTCTATTTTCTTTTCTCAGTAAGAACTTCTTGACGATTACACATCCTTTCAGACTCATAGTGTTGAGTTGTCTTCTCACAGTGGAATGATGGACAGAAACACCTTTGGATTGTTTAAGATCCGAAGTAGGCGTGGAGCCTGATTTTGTTTCTCAAAGACGGATGAGTGGTGGTCTATGACTTTTGCACAGTGCTGTATATTATATTACACCCCAAGTAGATGTATCAGACTAGAGAAATCACCAACCTTTGCCAGACAGCAGCACTCCAAAACTAGTAATCCTGGTGTACAGTGCAGTCTCAACTGTCAACCTGGAAACCGTCAAGTTTGTTGTGTTGCATTTTTGTAGTAAATTTAATAATAATAGTACATAGTAAATTTATAGAAGGATGCAAAAACATTCCGAATGTTTAATGCAAGTTAATTTGAAAATGTTATTTAAGCCACTTTGGAGCATTCCTATTGGTCCATTCTCCTGAACATTTTACACAATGTAAAAGACAGCTGCTTTGTTCATGTGATGTAGAAAAATTCAGATTTTTTTTGGACCACAATGATATGCATGTTTTGGCGTGAATGTTTTACAGAGATGGAACCCAGTTGAAGGATACACAGACACACTTCTCCCCACAGACCGCTGGCAATGGACAGATGAGTCGGGACAGAAACCACAGCCTCTCCACAGCTTCCATCTGCCCTCTGATAACTGGGAGTGGGAGGGAGACTGGTTTGTGGACGATGAGAGCTGTGGGAGAGAGTCCACTGCAACAGGGGTGAGTGATCATCAACTAACAAGTACAAAACTTAAAAACTCTACAAAATGTAGCTGTTTCTTCTTTTTTATCTTATCTTTTTTGTGTGTTTATTTGCTGATTTACTGTTGGTGATGTACTGATGAGTGTTTGTTGTTAATGCAGGGCTGGGAGTACGCTGTAGACTTCCCTGCCACCTTCACCAAAGAGAAGAAATGGAACTCCTGTGTCCGTCGCAGGCGATGGCTTCGCTACAGGAGATATAAAGCACGGGGGTCATGGGCCAAGGTATCAGACTTCAGGTCAAGGGTAATAGGCCTTCACATTCAATTATGGGGAACAAAGAAAACCCCTTTTGTAAGATTATGTGCATTTGTTTTTATTCTTGGATTGTTCTACAGTTGCGATGGCAAACGAGGTTCCAGTGTCAGTACGTAATTCAAATGTAAAACACAGCCTGTTATATTGAACATCAGCAAAGTTGTAACACTACTGACCGTTACACCACTGACAAAATGACTAAAATCTGAGCTTTTCTAAAATAGTCCACAGCCATTTTAGTTTCAAAGCCTTGTTGGATGTAGAAAATGATAAATATTGCATTTATGGTATTTTATTTAGGTTTTATGTTTTATGAGTAACACTAACAATCCTTTTTTGGGATGCATGAAGCTGTCAGTAGTAGAGTTAGCAGTTCTTCTTTTGAGAAATGTACATAAGAAGTAATTCAAAAAGTCCTTCTTGATTTGTTTTTTAAAGGGCATTATATGTCTCTGTAACTGAAAAAAAAAATTGGGACAAGATTTATTATCAAAATAAGCGTAAATTTATATTGTACTTTCAGTTTCAAATATACAATTGAATGCATTTTCATCACAGGCAAAAAACAGGCACCAAAATTGTTGTTTCACTTTAAATAATGCTTGAGTGTCACTGAAGTCACTGTAGTGACAAGCTGTTTTTCATGTACAATATGACAAAAAATCACTACACAAAAAATTCAGAAAGAATTGTTGTAGCTTTTTGTTGGTTAATTTAGGAATCGAACAAACACTACATGGACATCAGCTTTCTGTGATTTATTCTCATTCTGAGCTCTGCTTTTGACTTCAAAGTTGTGGGACACCATTTGCCACTGCAATGGTAGGATGATCCTTTTGTTTTATCCCATATTTAATAGAGGTGTAAATCTGACGTCACAGGGATTCAATTCAATTCCAGTTCATTAGGAAATTGTCAAATTTTGCTTTTGACTGAAAGTCTCAAAATTTTTTGATTACTTTAGTAGGATTCACACACACGCATTTTCTGAAACTGCTTATCCTTCTGGTCTGTGTCTGAAAATTTTTATTGTAGTCAATAATGTGCAGATGCTTTGTTGCATTAGATATAATCAGTTATAATCAAACATTCCAAAATCGATACACTTGAGACCTTCAGATTGCATTTTTACCCCCTTATTATTATTATTATTATTATTATTATTATTATTATGATAAATGCAGAGTCAGAATTGGCAAAGACTGCAGTTGGCAGATTTTTGCTCCAAATTATTATTTTGATTTTGGCAGATTTGTTTTATTGTGTAATGCTGTATTTCAGTGCTGCTGCTCCACCTTTAACAATATGTTGTAGCATACAACCTCCTACATTCCTCCTGGATGTTTAAATACACATTATTTTAATAGACAAAAGATTTTTTATTTTACTACTTAAAAATGTCAGTTTGACCCATTAAAGAGAACTAATGTTGTTTATGTTGCAACTGTCACTAATAGAATAGCCTACACAGTGTGTGTTGGGTTGAAAAAAGGCTAGTGAAAATCAGCCAAAAAATTGACTGGTTTGGCTGTAAAGAATTCAAAATTGGGATCATCCATAAACATTCATGATGGGTGCATCCCTAATTATAATTATTTCTGAAATAAAAGAAGATCAAGTGACCATATGGTCCTTTTCATCAGTCCCTTCCACTGTTCTTACACATGCCATTGTAAGTGTTGTACATTCATAATGGCATGGCTTTAGTTGATACGGTGAGGGTGACTGCTATGATGAAAATAATGAATGTGGTCCCTGAGCTACCATGAGAGTGAGCTGTGTGTGCTGTACTGGCTCAGGTGCCTTTGGACAGAGGCCGGCCTCCTCCAGAGCCCTTCACTGATATCAGCTGTGGAGGCTGGGACATCAGCGACAGTCCAGAGAAGCGCATCTGTCTATGGGCCGTGTCTCAACAAGGGAAGGTAAGACCACCCCTTTCTGACCGAATTAGTCTGAAGTAAGTACAACTGAAGTAATTTTCTGCAGCACTAGGGCCATTACACTCACGCTTTTGCAGATGGGGAACTGAAATGAGCTGAAATTATGTGCGATTTTTAATGTTTGTGGTTGTTGTGTGCAATTATATTGCAAACTCGATCCCAAAAAAGTTGGGGCAAGAGTTGTCTTTTTCAGGGAAAATGGCAAAAAATGTATTAAAAGGCAAGGTAACGTTACAAAGTGGTAAACGTTGCAGGGATCAAATTTGGAATGAGCGTATATTTACAGACATACAGACAGTTCATGGGATAAAACATAAAATATTGTGTTTTTGTACCATTTCCAGTTTATTGCTGATTAAAGAGAATTTACTCATCACTTCTTTCTGTTTTTTTGGCATTTCACATACTGTCCTATCTTTTTTTGAATTAGGTGTGAAGTTCTACCAAGATGGAAATCATTTGTAAATGTGAATATTACACAGTATTGACCACTAGAGGTCAGTGCGGCTCTGTGATGTTCACTAGCCATATTCATGTATATTGTTTACATGGCATACATTTCAGTCACTGTACTAAATATATTCAGTCATATGCAAAAGTTTGTTGATTTTCTAAGTGAAAATTAGTTAACACATCCTCTACAGGGAAGTAACTTAAGTAAGTTTTTTTTCTTAAATGTGTTCTTGAGAAAGGTCCTAAGAAAAAGTCTGCATCAGATTCATTCGTGTTCTTAAACCACAGGACTGTTCACAACTTTGTGCTCTTGAGTGATGTAGATTCTGTTCTTGCCTAAGAACAAATCCCAAATAAGAAAACACTGATGAATGTCAGAGACTTAGTGAAAACTGAGTAAGTGGGTTGTATGCTTGGTGAATGAGGCCCAATGTTCCTATATGGGTGCTTTTAAGGTTTTTAGGTGTTTCACCCTCTATCATGTATAACATCATCAAAAGACTTAGGAAGTCAGCAAGAACTTCTGTGGGGAAACAAACAAGGCCAAAAAAAGCAGCTGCATGCCCGTGACCTTTGACCACTCAGATGACACTGCGTTAAAAACCGGTATGCGTCTGTAACGACTATAACCAAAGGGGCTCAGGAATACTTAGACAAACCGCTGTCAGTAAACACCGTTTGTCACTGCATCCACAAATGCAAGTTAAGATTATTATGTACAGTGAAAGGTAAATGTCAGCAATGTCCAGAAATAATGCTGACTTTTCTGGGCTTGAGTTCATTGAGATAGACTGATGCATACATTTATCATGGTCTGATCAGCCTTTCAGATTGTTTGTGTAAATAATTGATGTTGTGTTCTCTGGACCAAAGACGAAAAGGACTATCCAGTGTTACCAGTGTAAAGTTTAGAAGTTCAAAACTGGATCTTCTGTGCCCAAAGGATTATTAAGTGTTGTTAAAATGAAAGTAACACAGTGATAAACTTCCTCCTTTTCCAACTTTTTTTGGATGGTGTTGCAGGCATCATGTTTGGAATAATATAAAAATGATCGACTCAGTACTGATTGTGCTGTCTACTGATGACCACTGATGTGGTCACGTGACCAGACTGAATGTGGTTTTTGTTTCTTTTTCTCAGGTGTGGTTCCGTACAGGCGTCCAGCAGCAGAACCCAGAGGGGACAGCCTGGGAGCACGTTCCTGTACCCAGAGAAGTGTCACAGATCAGCGCTGGCCCGGGGGACCTCCTGTGGGCTGTGCTGTGGGACGGCCAGCTGCTTGTCAGGACCGGCATCAACAGGGACTGCCCTAAAGGTTTGCCTCTGTCAAAATACAGTTTTAAATAAGAAAGCAAATCGAAGTTGTAGAAGACTTACAGTCAAATGCAGATGTTCAGGCACTCCTGATCAAATTCCATGCTTTGTTACTTTTCTAAGTGAAAATAAGTGAACACATCCTCTATAGAGAACACACTTCTGCATATTCCAATGCACAATTACTACTTATTTGCTGAATTAATCATATTGGAAAATGCAAAAGTTATGGCATATTTTATTGTTTGTTTTCTTTTTTCCAATAGCAAATAAATAGAAATTGGACTTTTAAATTTGCAAAAAAGGCCATGTTTATTTTTGTTCCCTGTAGAAGAAATTTTAACTTATTTTCTCTAAGAAAATCAGTAATACATGCAATTTGACTAGGGCTGTTTAAACTTTTGCATATGACTGTATTATGAAGTGAGGATATGAGTAGTGGCTTAAAAAACCTCCCCCTGCCATTTCATTGCTTACTAGGAATGGGCATTTTAACATTTGTTGCTGTTCAGATATCCACATTTTTAAATGAATATTTATATGACAATTTGAATGTTCTGATGAATATGTAAATGTTTTGTATTGTTATGAGTAAAAATTCACAGCAACGAAATATCATCACTTGTTTATCACCTGTAGCTAGTATAAGTGGTGATCCATACCTGAGCATTTTTTTATTTATTGATTCGTCTTTGATTTATAGGTGTGTGTGTTTGACATATTACCACCTGGCCTAGTGAACAATAACTTGCACTGTACAAATGTATCATTTTGTTTGAAATATGTCCATCTATTGCTTTAGATCACCATTTCACATAGCAGTAGATGCAAAGTCAGCCGTTTGCGTCCCACTCAGTAATGGACTTATGCAAAAAATAACAAGATAATACGTGATTTATTTTATTGGATTATTACACATGCTTATTTGTTTATCTGATTGAGTAAACAAATTCCAGGATGAGTTCAGAGAGCTGTATATTTGAATATACAGCATGTAGCACATAGTGCTCGGTTGGCTGTATTCAAGTCCAAGTTCACTTCATTGAAGCCACTCCAACTGAGTTGTCACAAACATTGGGACCTAACTTGAAAAAAAATACCGAAACTTAATGTTTTCTAATGTTGACAGCCAGTTGAGAGTTTTTCTTTGTACTTGTGCCACATGACATTTTGTAGTTTTGGTCTACTTTTTTTGCGTTTCCAAGAAAAACATTAGAGTTAACATTAAACCAGTTAAAAGTGACACAAATTAATTTGTCAATTAAAAGAAAATGATAAATATGAGTAATAAGAAAATAAGTAATGAGTTAAACAGATATATGGACAGATCAAGATAAAGAAGGTAAAAATACTAATAAACTTTTAGATAGAAGAATTAAAAAACTTAAAATTTGTGCTCCAACTGATCTACTAAATTATATAAATATTGTTTATCTGTGTTACACTCAAATATTTATGAATATGGCTTGAGGCTGTTTCACATCAATGACCTAACTGTCAAAAAAAATTAAAACAGGTTAGCACATCCTCTGCAGAGAACACAGTTTTGCACATTTTAATGCACAATTACTGCTTAAATATGCCATTTTTCTGCAAATTTAACCTCACAGTTTCTATTTATTTGCACCGTCCACATTTTATGTTGTTTTGTCCTCAGATGTATTGTATTTAACAAATAAACAGTAATTGTGTATTAAAGTGTGTGTTCCGTGCAGAGGAAGTGTTAACCTGTTTTCACTTAGAAAATCAACAGAACATGTCAGTTGACCAGGGACGCCAAAATATTTGCATATGACTGTAATTAGTGAAAGAGTTGCTTTGTTCTTTCTAGGTGCATCATGGGTGACAGTGGATCCTCCAAGCAAGGTTGGAGCCATCCACATAGCAGTTGGAGTTAATGTAGTTTGGGTGGTCACCAAGGACAACAAGGTAAGTGTTTTCTACAGTGTTATTTCTGAGTGATTTATATATCCAAAAGGACATTTGATTATGGTTGGCGTTTGTATTGATCCTAGGCAGTCTGGTATGAGATAAAGGTCGAATACTCACTCTTCAGGGACAGTGGACAACTGGCAGTTTCTATTTACACTCATAAATTTCATGTAAGAACAGAATGTGACCCACTGGACATGTACATATGTGTATGTATGTATGCGTGTGTGCATGACAGGTGTGGTTCAGAAGAGGAGTGAACTCTCATAACTCCAGTGGCTTAGGCTGGATCAGTATTGGTGGAGAGATGGTGATGATCAGCGTGGGGCCCAATGACCAGGTGAGGCCCAGCACAGGCTACAAATAGAGGAGATGAGAAGATTTTATGGCCCAGCTGTTACATTTCTTTTACCATACATCAGCTCCTTTAAAGGCACACAAGGATACGTTCAAGGACACCAAACCGCAGCTTATATGACTGTAAGACTTTCACATTGTAAAACAGTAAAGATAGAAAGTGTACTGTACTGATATACTTTATGAGGGTCTAGTGTAATTTATTTAGTTTGTTTTACGATTGACCTTTGGGTCTTTACATGAACATATACATTCATATGCAGCTTCATTCAGTTTCTGGAAATGTTTTTGTTCAGAAGCTTTCAAATATGATTCTATAAAACCAGGAAAGGCCATACGTTACAGTGATTTTACCATGTGAAGCTGTGACAATATAGAATATGATGCAGTATTTTAAATAAATAATTTATCAGAAAAAAGAATTATAACTCTTCTGACAAGCAATGTAGTTCATTAACAGTTATTATTAACAGCCTATCATAGCCTATCATTAACAGGCTATGGTTGCCAAGCAATGGATAAAGATTACCTCATGAATAGCACAATGGTTTTTAAAAACTTTCCACAGTAACTCAGAATGTCGATGGATGTGTGCAGTCATATGATGGCCCCAAAAAGGTTTTGGACACTTAAACCACTTAAGCACTGGTAAACTTTAATGAAGTTCTTTAGGTTACTTCATAAAATTATTTTTGTTTCAGAGAGAAACACTTTTAGCATGACATACAACTGATGGTAGACTCCTCATGTGGAGAAAGCCTGGAGAAGAATTCCTTCCAGTCTAAACTAAGAGTACAGTAAAGCACAAAGGTGGAAAAGTCAAACTCTGGGGCTGGTTTTCTTACGAGCTTGTGTTCATTGTTGGGATCATGTATTTAGATGAGTGCAAAGGCATTTTGGATTGCAGACCATAAAGAAGCGGTTCAAATGAAAACACGCCAGCCACTTTTTGAGAGAATACTTTCAAAGAAAGATATTTACAGTCTTGGGATGGTCTGTTGCCACTTGGTTTGACATTTTGTGTCCTAACACAATGAATTGAATGCATTATTAAATATGGCACAAATGTCCAAATATGTTTTGGGCCCACTGCATTATAGATAATAATTGCATTTCGTCCACCAAGCAATATAGTTTGCTAGCAGTAGGATATGGTTGCCAAGCAACATACGAGTCAACGACTATGAATAGCACAATGTTTTTTTAATAACAGTTGATGTGTGCCTAAATACCAAATTTGTGTGTATATATTGACTATTTTACAAGGGCTTGAATGTGGTTCAGCCAATCAGAACTATCTGTTTAATGAACAGAACTGTAATCCATTTTGATCTTTTTTTTTTTTAGATCAATTCACCTTCCATGTTAGCATGAATATCAAATTTAACAAAATATCTCTGAAATTTCATTTTTCATACATCGAAGACACTTTACACACTAGCCCACATTTCACTAGAGACAAATTCATTTATTATAAGGAAACACCAGTTTTTGGAGAAAACAGATTGTACCACCAGTTTGTCACTGTTTTATTGTACTGTGTGTGATGTCTTTCACTTTGGCAGTTACATTATAATTGTCCAGTGATGATATTTAGTGGTGTTGCTCGACTGTGAGACAGCCTGGCTTGTGAGTGAACAGCCTGTACTTGGGGAAACCCATCTGCTGGGCCTGTCAATGGAGAAGCGAGGGTGTGGGTGCTCTTCAGTTGTAATGACACCATCATTCTCACATGCAGCTTTGAGGATTAAGCATCATTGCACTGTGTCCTCTGACGTCCAGTATGTTCATCTAGAGCGATAGAATTGTGCACTGTCTGCGCACACAGTCTAGTCCTCAGCTCACACCCTCTGGCCTCTCACATTTCCCTGGGTGTCACTTTTGGAAGGAGCGGCTAGAGCTGCTGAGTGTCAGTGTGGAGCTTGCTAGCGATGCACCCTCCCCCTCATCTCTCTCTCACTCTCTCTCTCTCACTCTCTCTCTCCCTCTGTAACCTAAGCACCAGACTTGCTCCTTCTGCCCGCATGTCCCAGCCATATATATACTCTTCCTATACTCTCGGCCTGGGACGGCCATACAGGAGCATATCTAATTTGAGTTTGGCCTCTGCACTGTGTGCCCATATTTCACATTTCATTCCCAGCAGCCCCGGCTGTGCGCAGGGCTCAGATGCGCCGCAAATATTTTTCTCTCCTCCCTTAATTTGGGTTAATCGGAAACAATATCCCATCTGTGAGAAGTGTGTCAGCACATAAAAAGAAAGTGCTAGAGCATCAGCCCAGGACATGCTGAAGGTATGATATGTCCTGCCTTTCCCGAATGTTTCCTAACAATGCCCTGACTTTTCGATCACATGCTGTTGTGCTGCTGGAGGAGGCTTGAGGATGATAATGACTTGATATTTCAACACATAATAAATTAACTATAGTATAGCTACTCTGTTATAATGACTATAACCAGCTAACTGTCAGTATAACCAAGTCTACACCAATGCAGGTAATATATCTAAAATATCTCATTATGAGAAATATAAGAATTGGTAAGACTATTGTAGAAAAGGGAAAGTGAAAGGAAAATAAGTGAAAAATTACTAAAAGATACAGAGAAAATTGGATTCCTAACATCTACCTCATAGACCACCAAAACTGTTACAACAGTACATAAGCTTTCATGTTTGAGAGATTCACATTGAGAAAATCATGCTCTGCCCTTTACAACTCAACGCTATAAGTCAAACAAAGATGGTGCTGGAGTTCTCAGAACAGTTCACTGTCTACACCAGCGTCCAGACCTCAGCATCACTGAATATGTTTGAGATGATTTGTGGAAAATGAAACCAACTTGGAGATGTGGAAAAAACATATTTGCAGATAGAAAGCAAGTCTCCCAAAAGTAATGGCAGCTGTAATTTAGTGGACACACTAAAAACTGAAAAATAATACTTATTTGTTGAGGTTTCTGTGTAATTTTCTGTTAAGTATATCATTTTTTTCTTGTGCTGATAAATTAATAACTTGTACTTAATGGTCATTTTACTGGTTATTAAATAATTGAAAGGTGTTTTTTCACAGTACTGTAGATGGAATAATTTTATAATATCCTTATAATAATTTAACTGCAGTCCTGTGATGTGCCAAGATGTTATTTATTGCAGTGTTAGTCATGATGGGACAGCAGATACATTTTATCAGTATTACTGATTTTTATTAGATTGAAAAATATGTTGTAGACATTATAAAAAATGGAAATGTAGTCCACAGCTGTGACTGTTGTGGGCTCATGTACTGTCATTTTGCTCTGCCAAGGGCCTTTGAAAGGTCTGTCAGGAGGATCCTGCCAGTCTGGACTATATTTGATCTTACACTATCCTGACCTGAATGTCTTGTCTTGCCCTGGCCAGTGCAGGGTGGTCTATGACCATAAAGTTTAAGGTTTCTTGGATCCCTGCCACTGCTAAGAGAAACTATTCAAAGCGTAAAGCCATTCTAGGAGGGCTACAGTCCTGGCCATAGCATGTCTAATTTAACTCATGAAGGGATCAATAAGTGAGTGACAAAAAGTTTAGAATAAATTTGAGCAAACATAGAAACAACAAATATTATATAAAGCTGGTTAATAAGGGATGTTGGATCAATTATAACATGCATTAGAAGGAAAGTTCATAATCCTTCTGCATTCTAACTGAAATCTGAAAATCTGATCAATGGCATCAATATATTGTGGTCTTAACATTGTTTTCTGTTTGTTATTGTGTCATGTAACAGTATTGGTTTAATATGCTGCAGGTGTGGGGGGTTGGCAGCGAGGACAGGACTGTTTACTTCCGCCATGGAGTCACCCCTACTGAGGTAACTGGGAAGGCATGGGTCCCTGTGTGTGCCCAACTGGACAGAGGTCATGCCACAAACAGGCCCAGGTCAGTTACTGTGACCACAGCATACTGTTCCATTTCACCTTGCAGTACAGAATTTCTCCAGCAGGTGTCACCATTTATATATGTTTGATGATATTTGATGATATTTGTTTTAGGACTGCACAATATGGAGAAAATGCTAGTATTGCAATTACATTGTCGCCTATTGTGATTAAGATATATCTTGCAATCTTTAATAAATAAGAGCTGTTTGATGTGGCCGGCTTGCATTGTTTTGAGACATGTCTCTTTTCATTTATTTGAGTTTTTAGTGAGTCCATTCTTTTTTAGTATATCCATCCTTTGGCTTTATTGCAGCTTCCATTCTTTTCAGGAGACATGCTTTCAGGGATATTTTTCCTCACCTCAAAAGTTCAGTCTTAGACATTGGTTGTATTTTAATCCCAAACACATTCAATAATTTTGAGGTCTGGACCGTCCATTGTGCTAAGAACACCAGCGACTTCTTTGTTTGATTAGCAAGTTTACTCCTTTTTTTGTCTGTTTCTTTTTCTCTCTGGTCTACCAGGTCTTGCACGGTTGTCAGTCCCATTTTCTTTATATCTTTTAATAAATTTTTAAACTCCTGTTTTGGAAACTCCTGTATTTTTTTACCTCTTTTCTTTTGATGTTTCTGTTCTTTAAGCAAGTATATTATCTATTGATTTATTATTAATATTACTTATGTTAGTTCATGTAAATGCCTTGATTCATCCAAACTCTAATAGAAACATCTGTGATTGGTCAGGATGCTCACAGCACACAATGAAATATTCAGGGACTGGTGTGAGTCTCTGAGATATCAGTGCTGCAAAAATGAATATAGTAATAACAATTTAACAAATGATGTATTGTGCAGTGCTAGTGTTTTTGAACAGCTCCCCCTTTTTCCTCTCACTCTGGTCTGCTGAGCAGTGATGGCTGCCTCTTCGGTGGTCAGCTCACTGGCCCTTCTCAGGGTTCCGTGCTCAGTTGTGATGACTCGGATGTCCCCAGGCAGCACATCCCTAAGATCACCAGTGATAGTTTCATCTCCGCCCTGGTGGCTGACTGCAGCGCTCCTCCAGAGGGGTCAACCACAACGCCAAACCCCACCTCACTTGAAGTGGACCAGGAAGGTAGTGTTAGCCGATATGCCGTCTAATTACACAATAATACTGATTTATCATTTTAATTCTATTGATATATAACACACACACACACACACACATATATATATATATATATATATATATATATATATATATATATATATATATATACATATATATATATAAAACCTGATTAACTAACTGTAATTTACTTTAAATTAGATTAAAATATATACCAACAAAACAATCAGTAAGTTTCCATCCTGCTTTCTGACTGGTTAATGTTTACAATGTTATGTGAAGTTCAGTCAAAACGAGCTATGTCAGATATTCTTTTACCACAGAGTAACTGTACTCAGGAACATGGGATCAATAACTTTATTAATGCAAGCTTAAATGGCATCTGATATCACGTTATATTTGAAAAATGTTGTGATAAATCAATTCCACCCAGTACTAAAGGAGGCTGCGGGGGAGGACGATGCTCCTAGCCAGGCCCCAGTGCTCCCATCCAGCCAGCTAAATGGTGGTGAACTCCCTTGGAGTAACGTGGATCTGGAGGAGATGAAAGCCACCCCAGCAAGTACTGCGCAGAGCTCAGTGGCCACATACCCCATGGAGCTGGAAGCCATTGTGGAGCAAGAGGAGGGTCCACCATGGGCCTCGATCACAGGAGGAGGATGTGAGATAGACTCTAGTTCCAGTATCAGCTGGCTGGAAACTACAGGTACAGCATTTGGGTAGCACAGTCAGTCACTCTGGTTGTATACAATGGGATCCAAAATCTAAGACATTGAAAATCTGGGATTTCTTGTCATTTAAATTTGAAAGCAAATGAGAAAGTTTTCAAATTTAGAAAAATTTAAAACAAAAAAGTTATGAAAATTAAAATGAAGAGGAAATTAACCCCCTGAATGTCTTTGAACAAAAAGGTCAGATATTTTTTTGGTCCTATCTTTTTTGGTCCTATAGTTTCCCTTAGTTGGTGTATGTATTAGAATAGAAAATGCCAACATGTACAGGACAGGGGTAGTCAGAACAAGCAGTGATAACCACAGATCTTAGTTGTATCTTTACATATAAATGGTTTCTCTTTCTTCTCTGATTTTGTCCTTGTCTCTCTTTTCTTTCTGGCTCCTCTCTCCCAGAAGAAGGCCTGCTGTCTCCCTCCATCGCTCCTGCTCTTAGTGCAGCAGGTGCTCAGGGTCCTCTGGCAGAGAGAGCGCTACGAGAAAAAGAGAAAACTATGGAGAAGGTACACACAAGATTCAGCTTACAATCATGTTTAAACATACTCTTTTTAATTAGTTCTAGAATTGAGCATGACTATTCAAATATGCAGAGTTCAAAATTATTCAAATCCCAAAAGCCTACTACAATCTAAATATTTTTTATTTAGTAAGTACATGAACTATAGTGTAAACTGGTTGCGTTATTCCTAAGATAAGGAAGTGTGTAATAAAACTTTAGACATTGAAGGAGTTGACTACATGGGAAATTTGAGTCATGTGTAGTTTGGAACAAATTAATTGTGTATTATCTTGTAATATGTGTGACAGAACCACAGAAATGTGGGGACACAAGCAGCTGATAATTTGTTTCAAGTGAAATGGCAACAGCTGTATATATGGAAATATACATATGTAATATACATAAATATGGAAATATTTCAAACAAAAAGCTGTCAAAACTGTACAAATTGTGCAACTGTGAGTTATTGTTCTGTAGTTTAAATGGTATTTAAAAAACATACACCAAACACACAAACATAAATCACTCAATCAACCTAAGCGATAATATGCTAGCTCATGCTATACAATACAGTATACAAATAATAAATATGTAGATATTTAAATTGTTCAAATGTTTATCCTTAATTAGCTGTCCTGAGTGGGGACCCCTCAGGGCCTTCTAGGCCTTAAGAGAAGATCTAATGATTTCTGGAAACAAACAAAAATGCATGCATGTCTGTAATTTTGTAGTTAATTTCATACTAGCCATAAAACGCAATTTGAGCCTGCTTTGGAGGTTCTTTTTATCAACTAAAGCACTAGCTATAATAGACAAGGTTTCTAGTAGTTATGCTGTAATTATCCACTCAAGCATGGCTGATGTGGCTGGATTGGACAGAAAAGAGAGATTTCATGGAACTGCCTGCTGTTGCATTCTCATAATGCATATTAAATTTAAGGAGTATTAATAAGCCAATGTTGTTCTCATTGTGTGTGTGTGTGTGTGTGTGTGTGTTAGTCTGTGAGTGTGAGAAAAGGTGTGATGAGCTGGTGGAGGGACTGGCAGCCGCAGCAGTGGGAGGAGGTGGGCGTGACTCTGGAGCAGGTCAGGGGTGTTGGAGCGTCCCGGGACGACATCCTTTACATCTTCTATACACACAATGAGGAAAGAAAGGTGAATTTAGTGCACCGAATACCAACTATTACATTCCACTACCAACACAATAACTTCACCATGCATTTCAACAGAGATATAGAAGTAACCGACACTTGCTACAACAACTACACTAAAATAAAAGTATTATTACTATTATTATTTTTAAATAAAAGTACCACTAAAGGAAGTGTTACAATTATAAGAGCTAAAAACATACTCAAGTAGAACTGTTGTGGAACTTCTTAGAACTTCCAGCATGTATTAACTTAGAAACTGAAATTTGTTAGATGCTATTTTTCTCTTTTTGAGATCCTTTTGGTCTAGAATAAAATTCCAAATTAACTCAGGCTTTTGTTTGGTTCTCTAACTCTCCTGTCTCAGTATCTGTATGCTGTGATAAGGGAAGTGACAGCCCTTGTTCCAGTATTTTGGGAGTCACTATACGCACTGGCTGTTTATACAGCTGAGAGGACCAGGCAGAGATGGCCTATTCTGCTGGCTACAGAGTCCCATCAAGACTTTGAGAACTGGGTAAATATACCACACTACCAAATGCTCACACAGGTAAAGCCATCAGTAAGAGGTCCTGTTCCTGCTTGGTTGGAATGACAACTAGTAAAGACACCGATCCAGTAGCAGGTATTATATCAGGCCGAAATCAGTAGAATCAGATAACGTAGTTTTTCCCCTCCGAGAATGATTCAGAAACCTTGCTTGAGCATGCCAGCCCAGTAGGCAGTTATAATACCACATGAAATGTGGTCTTACACCTCAAGAAGAACATTGTGAGCATGCCCTGAGGCTGAAGAGAGATTTTCTAACAATGTGATGGTGCCGTGTTACAAATTTCACCTGCGCTAGAAAATTAAAGCTTAAAAAAAAGGACAGCTGTTGGGTTGTTTACATTGCCACAGCCTTCATCTCTGAAACATCAATACAGTTGAAAAGCTCAGGTTTTCTGGCTTTTCATTCCATGAATTATGGAGTTAATATTTTTTCATCTTTATATTATCTGACTTTAGTTAATGATTATGAAGTCATATCTTAAGAGTTATTGAGGTGTTTTTAATATTTACAGTTGAAATGACACCCAGTTTACAATAACTGAGCGCAGTACATGATGCCTCTGCATAATGTTTAATGTAAAAGTAAAGTCAAATTTCGATTATAAACATGATTAAAACTCCGTCATATTTCAGACAAATGTCTGAATATTTAATAAATGAAAAAACAAGGGGACATTAGAGAGATAAATCACAGAAAAGCCAGTCTTTTGGAGTTAGCTTTTCACCCAGCGTGCTTACAAGACTTCTGTTTCTTTACACACTGCCTGCAGCACCACATCACTTGGTCAGTTGCATCAGAAGGCGCAGAGGTATGGTGTCCAGAAGTACTGGTCACATTAGTTGTTACATATGGTTCTCTTCAAAAGTATTATCATTATATACATTATACATTATGTAAATTTAAGCCACCGTAAACCTACGAAAGGTTCTACCACCCACTACCAGTTTGTACAAACTATAGGAGTTATAAACCACTGCATGTGGCAGTCAACAGGCTGGATCAAGCAGATCAGAAGCTGACTGATGCAAAGTTGTCGAGTCAGATGGTTCTGTTTTTCTCAAATGTAACACATTAAAATTATACTTCAGTATATCAGATGGGGCAGTATGTTTCATTTTCCTATGGGAAACCCAAGGCTTAACTTGTGGTCATGGCAGGATTGAATAGCTAGTTATAAAATTTTTATCGTCTGACTCTGATTCTTGGCAAGGTGGCTTTGAGCCCAGAGGATGTGTAATGACATTATTAAGTGTGTATCTGTGTGTGTGTGTGTGTGTTCGTTCCCTGCAGCTGTCTCTGTTGAGTGAGTCATGTTGTGAGTCCAGGGCTCTCCGAGATCCCCCCTCCAAACAAGCCATGTGGGCCGTCACCTCTAAAGGGGACATCATGGTGCATGACCCATCACCCAGCCTGGAGGCACCTGCCCAGTACTTACCCTGTGACCAGATGTAAGATCTTTTGCCAGACTCTTCCTCTTATTCTTGCTGTCCCCTGTCTTTCTCTCTGGCAAGGGTCCTGAGTATTTGCGTCTTGTTGCTTTTTCACATCAGCTACATCATCTGCTATTGGTTCACTCACTCCAAATACGTCTGTCATTTTTGCACGATCACATCTTTGGTCCATCATGTGTTCTAGATAGTTGTCTTTCTTGAATTTGGCTTGCCATGCATGCTAGTGGCTGTGTATGTGTATGTGTGTGAGCTCAGGTTCTGGCGTCAGGTCCCGGGTCACCTGCTTTGTGTGGAGTCTAACAGTCTGGGTGTGGTGTGGGGCATCGGCTATGACCACACTGCCTGGGTCTACACGGGGGGCTGCAGGGGAAACCAAGCTCAGGGTAAAGCCTAAGATGAACTGGCCTACTCTAATGAGAGTTGGAGTTAGCTTAAAGGAATATTCTATAGTTTTTTTCAACTTCAACTGCCCCATCTATAGCATACAGTCAGTTACCTTGGAAAAAAAATCATTACATTTCTCTGTACTTAGAACAGAACCAAAAAACAATTGATTTAAAACACACTTATAATATAAGCCACTGGACAGTTGCTGAATTCCATCAGTTAAAGTTTATGCAAAACATGTATTTTTGTAGAATTCTTCAGTCAAAGGGTATCTGTCAACCGGTCATCAATGAACAGAGGCAGGCAGAAGTCAAGCATCTTAAGAACCAATGAGGTACAGTTTGAAATATAGCTAAGAACCACTTGAAAACCTCCAAAAACAAAACCAGAAACCAATGCCAGAACAAGAAGCAGGTTTGGGGATAATGAAAGGGAAGAGCTGGAATGTTCCGAGGAGATCCAGAAGGAGGTGGGTGAGGGGTTCTGTGATTTTCAGCTATAGATACTTAGTAACAAAACCTAGATAAACAAATAAACAGCTCTTCCTGATGTCCATGTAAAAGAGTCGTTGCTCCATTGTTTGAAAAGTTGAAACTAACTTCATAAGGAAAGCTTCATAAAACACTAAAGACCTGTATTAGAATGTAACAGTTTACGTTTTGAATTTGTATTATACAGTCACATATTTCAAACTTTTATTGACTGCATTCTGCAGCTGCCCTGTGGCTCCTGGTTATGAGTATGTTTTCTGTTCTTTTTCTCAGTACAAAGCATCATGCTGAAATTATAGTCCACTGACAGTATGATACAGATGCTGCAGATAGAAACTAGGTTGAAAAACGTTGGACTATTGCTTTAACTAATCATCAGAGCCTCTGTCCTTGAGGAGTAAAGACTTAAGTAGACTTAACATTAAACTTAATGTCTTGCAAATGTCTCGCTTATGCTTGCTAACACTGTGCGTTTTGTGTGTTGATATCCGAGAATGGCATGTTAAGACCACCTGTAGTAGCGATCTTGGCAGTTCCTCATGATACGTTTAACTGTCACCTTCCATCAGGTGAAATTAATCAGCATTCACTGACTGATGTTAGAAATGTCTACATCTACGAGAACCAGCGGTGGAACCCAGTGACAGGATACACAGATAAGTACGTCTCATCTCAGCATCTCCTGATGTGTTTTTGTCAAGCCTTAAGCCCTAAGGAACTCTGTTCTACACTCTCTGCTCCCCACAGGGGTCTCCCCACAGACCGGTACATGTGGAGCGATGCCGTTGGACTGAAGGAGTGCACCAAAGAGAACACCAGACCACCCTCACCTCAGTGGACATGGGTAAGTGTAGTAGACTCTAGACACAGAGCAGAACAGTGGTGGTGTATCATAGAGCAGTACACTACAGTGCTGGGTAGGATTGTGTCTACTTGCATACAGTGAAGCTTAAACATTTACTTTGATAATCTGTGGCATAAGTTGGGGTGTAATAGTCTAGAGATTGCATATTCGATCCCTGGTGATGCAACAGCCACCCGTGAACAGAAATCCAAGATAACATAATTGGCGTCACTCTCTCTGGTTGGGTAGGATGACCCTCCTTCTCCAAATATGTCTGAAATATGTTCATGAACGTTTAAATCAACATTATACTATATATATATATATATATATATATATATATATATATATATATATATATATATATATACAGAGGTATGGTTGTTTGAGCTGTTTTACTGAAAATAATATACTTTTTCAAAATAAAAAAATAGGATTGTTCATATTAATATCATTTAACTACTTTATCGTTTATGTCTACTTTATAAATTTGACTTTTATTAACATGTTGTGAAGTGTTTATGTAAGATGTTATGAATGTGTTATGTAGACACCCTTCAAGTAAAGTGTTACTCGATAACACTAATGTCACCTGTTGCATCATCAACACTTTAAAAAGATGCACTGGTGCTTTGCGTGACTCTGAGGGAGTATGTGCTAGCTTTCACCCTCCCAGCATGGTAGCATTGTGGGATGGAGGTTTAGCTATTGGGTGGGAACTGACTATGACTAAATTAATTAGACAAGCCAATTATATGAAATCTCAAATTTCACCACAATTTGATTACATTTGATTATTTTGATATGATTCAGATTTCATTTTCTAAACTACACTGATTATAGAAATGTGACTGGAGGATCTATTTACCCAGTGGTGAAATAGACAATAAAAAGAGATTTGTACATTTGAAAGTAGCCTAATATTTTTATTTTAGCCAAAAAACCCTCAAACTTATAATGATGACAGTTGATTATAATCATTTCTAACAATGCAAAATCAATGCGGTTGAATTGCCACCTTTTACACACCTACTATAAAATGATTTAATACTGTAGTAAAACATACCAACAGAAACAGGTTTGGAGTGTAATAGGATTTTCTGTGAATACCTACAAATTCTCACTGCTCTGTGATTCTGACTGCAGGTGTCAGACTGGGCCATTGACTTTAGCACCCCAGGAGGAACAGACAAAGAAGGCTGGCAGTATGCTGCAGACTTCCCAGTGTAGGTCTTCTCACAGTAAGCACACAGTTACAGTGAGCTGTAAATGGCTGACTTATCTTTAACTGTAATTTTGTGTGTACATTTCAGGACTTTTCATGGCTATAAGACCATGAAGGACTTTGTGAGACGAAGGCGATGGGTCAGGTAGTAGTGATACATTTTCTTTTTCTGTAGCTTTTTTTCTGTAGATTTTGGGAACAGTGGGCATTTAATACAGACTTAGCTTAAACTTATTAGTAAATAAATTAGCATTTGGACACACTGAAACTTGTGCTTACCTTGGCTTGTTCTTTTTTTTTTCCACAGGAAGTGTAAGATTACATTAATGGGGCACTGGCAGAAAGTCCCGCCTATCCCGCTGATTGACGTCACCATCCTGCCATGTCTGGCTCAGAGCAGTCTGGAGCAGGTGCCTGTGTGGGCCATCAGTGAGAAGGGGGACGTGCTGTGCCGTCTGGGAGTAAACGCTCATAACCCAGCTGTGAGGACACACCTTATCTGCAATCCTTACACACTGCATGCAACATAAGGCACTTTTCCACTGGTCAGTGCAGCACGATTATGAATCCCAACCCAGAACTATGCGTACAGTAGTCGAGTATCGCTGTCTATTTCAATAGCACAGCAGAACTGTGAAAGAAGGTGGGTCTGGATTTTGTGTGAAGGTCACATGATTTCCCATGTAACAGTAGGAACAATGAACAAACTAGCAGCTCTGATATCATTTAACTTTTTGGAATTTGGTTTTATGTAAAAAGTCACAGAGATATTCTGACTAGTTAGTAATTAGAAATGACACTCGTCTGACTCGAATCACGACTCTGAGTTTGACCATTCAGTGGTCTCCACTCATTTTTCCCAGCTCTGTACACTTGGTACCCCGACAAGAAGATGAACCAAATGCAGCAGATATTCTGTGGAAATTACGACAAAACATGATCATAGATTCATAACCATACATGCGATATCACTCTACCTGATGGAGAACGGTTAGACAGTTTTTGAACTGAGACTGTGACCATCAGGCCACAGTTGGCCCATATTAGCATTTAATTTAGCCTGCTAGTTACCCTAACCCCACCCCATTATCCCAATGAAATAACAAACATGTTTTCATACTATACATAACTTATTAAATTCTCTTTTTTTAAGTGTTGTTGTAACCAAACAAAAGTGTAAAATCCTTTTTTTAAAACATTGAACCTGCCTTTTTATTTGTAAAATGTTTTGTCTTTTTGTCCCTTGATCTACCACAAACATTACAGTTTGGCTATAGAAATGAAATATAGCCCACAAGGCCTTTTACAATAAACTTCAATACGGCCTACTTGAGCCCCACTTGTTTCTCCACAACCCTAGTTAAAATCTGTCTACAACATCCTCTTGGTCAGCTTTCTGTACTGATTGACTTAGTGTAAATGAAAGCTCTTCCACACAGGGCAGCTCCTGGCTCCATGTGGGGACTGACCAGCCCTTTAAGTCCATCTGCATTGGAGGAGGCCACCAGGTGTGGGCCATCGCCCGGGATGGAGCAGTCTTCTACCGAGGCTCAGTCTCATCCCAAAACCCTGCGGGTGAGATGAGAAAAAAAGGCAGGACGGGGAGGAATTGTGCAGCTCTCTGTATCAAATTATTTATAATATGTATTTACTGAATGTAAACAGATAAAGCTGTGCCACTGTTTTATGATGAAGTGTCAAGTAAGTCTGAGTTCATGTACAGTGAATATGACACACATGTGAATGGGATTTCTTTGCATTGTTTCTAGGCGAGTGCTGGTACCACATTCCCTCTCCCCCCAGGCAGACACTCAGACAGGTGTCTGTGGGCAGAACCTCTGTTTATGCTGTGGATGAAAACAGTAAGAGTTAAAACCAGTTCTTTCGATCTCAGAACTTAATAGGCTTTAAATACTGTGAGAGAAGTATTAATACAATCTACTGTGCAAAAGTCAGAGACCACCCTTCAATTATTTAATTTACAGTCAAAACAGCCATTAAGCACAAGTTTTCAGCAGGAGGAAAGCAGAAAACATAAGAGTAAAGTACACAGAAGCCTCAACAACTACATGTAATTTTAAAGCTTCAATTATTTGGGAGACTGAAGAAATCTGCAGGGATATTTTTCCACAACTGCCAAGTTTAGTCTTAAAAGATGGTTGCAAGAAATCCTAAACACAGTACCAGCTTCTTCACAGCTACACATCCTTTCAGACTCATGGTGCTGAGTTGTCTTCTCACAGTGGAAGGATGGACAAAAACACCTGTGGATTTATTCAGATCTGAAGCAAAAGTGGAGCTTGATTTTCTCCTCTCTCTCAAAGATGAAAGCTTTAAGGACCGTTTATCTGATGGTGACAGTTTTGGTGCTCTACCAGGTCTTGTATGGTTGTTATGAGACCTATTTTCTTTATAGCTCTTAATATGTCCAGTTTCAGAAACTTCTGTTTTTTTACTTCTTTTCCTTTGATGTTCTCTTTCCTTATGGAAGTAGAATATTTTATAATTAAAAATCTGAAAGATAAATAACTATAGATTATATATGCTATAGACTTATATGCTGTTTTGACTGAAAATTAAATAAATGAAGGAAGATCTCTTGCCACAGCACTGTGTTCATAATATGTTCTTAAAAAAGAAGTATCAAGCACATGGAGTAGTGGTTGTCTATACAGTGATGTATGTACGGTTTCCTGCAGGTAATCTGTGGTACAGGCAGGGTCTGACGCCTAGTTATCCTCAGGGATCTACGTGGGAGCTCATCTCCAGCAACGTTTGCAGGGTTTCTGTTGGACCGTTGGACCAGGTCTCAGCTGTCACACACACTAGCCTTTAGGCTGAATACGCTACTGTTCAAACGTTCGGAATCAGCGTTTTTAGTACCAAAACGAGTTGGGTTTCAGATTGATGTATAAAAGTATGCTAGTCCTGCACAATTTCACAGCTTTTAAATAATTAGTGGGAATTTAGGAAGCTGTAGAAATATCAAATACGTCCATAATGATGAACAGAGCTGTAGAAGATTCTAAAGTGACAGAGAGCTGGATCAAGAATGAAGTTAAATTTAACTGAATTGAAATTTAACTAGAACTTCATTTATAGTACATTGAAACTGAAATGTATAACTATAAATTCAACATCCAGAATGCCTAAAAAAGTGGTTATTAAATCCTGAGGTGGATAACTTGACAAAAATGACTAAATAGATAATGAACTATTTACAAATTATTGTTTATAAGATTCAGATCTACATCCTCTAAATTATTATACAGAAAAACAAACTATCAATATATTAAGTGATTCAAAACTTTTGAGTGGTAATGTACAGTCATATGCAAACATTTGTGCCCCCAAGTGAAAAGAAGTTAACACATCCTTTAAAGAGAACACAGTACTGAATGTTTTAATGCTCATTTAGTGGTTATTTGCTGAGTTTAACATATTGGAGGAAAGCTGAAACAAAAAGTGGCCTGTGCAAAAGTAATAGCACATTAAATATTGTTAGTTTTTCCACATGTTAAACTTAGCAAATAAATTGAAACTGTGGACTAAAATATACAGAAAATGTCACATTACCTGTTTAGAAGAGAATCAACGAAATGTAATTTGACTGGGGGCGTTCAAATGTTTGTGTACAAATCTATGTGTAAAAGTAAAAACACTTGGGCGTTAGACTGAATTTAGGAGTTCTAACTGAATAAGCTATTTAACATGTCATCGTTCATGGCAATAAAGCCATAGAAATACACAAGAAAAAATGTTGATCTAGCAAAGAGTAACCCCTGCACTGTCCACTGCACAGTTTCCCTACTCCAGACACATTTGACTTACCATCAGCTCGATGTGTTAGAACCAGGAAACAGGTGCCGGAGTTCATGCTCTCTCATACCTTTCTCCAGGTTTGGATTATAGCTGATAAGGTCCCGAGTTTTCCTTCTGAAAGCTCAGGCACTGTATGCCACAGGCTCGGCGTGCGGCCCATGCAGCCTAAAGGCTTGTCCTGGGATTTCGGAATCGGGGTGAGTCTCCATTCACGCTGTTCCCTCAGTTTCTCAGTTGTGACATTAACAATCAAGAAATTATTAAGTACAAAAAGTATGTTATCAAGTGAAACAGGCTGATTAACCCAAATTAATTAGCACGGAGCACTATGTATCACACAGGGCGGATGGGAGCACCTGTCAGTGAGAGGGAATTCCACAGAGGCCCAGCGTGCGGCTCCTCGCAGCCCTCTGCCCGGCCGGAATCAGGCGCAGGTGAATGGGAATGCTGCGGGATGTTAGAGACCACACACCCTCCATTATCCTCCTCACTGTCATAACTGCCTGCCCTGCATGCCTCAGCCCACTGCTCCGGACACCCCATCCCAGCCTCGTTTCAACCATATGTGACTTTTCTTTCTTTTATTTGTGTGTGCGTGCTTGAGTGCTTTTCTTCATTTTGACCATTTGCATGAATTGCTCTTGAATGTACTGACCATGGCTTCTTTTTTTTTTTAATAAATTAATTTATTCTTTTCTTTATTTAATTGTATTCATAAGCTACTGCTGTTACTTTTACTTCCTAATATGCTATTTTTCTGTAGTAAGGTCCTCTGTCAGTCTTACAAATCTAACAAATCACATTTTACATCCTGATACTCTGTGAAAAATGACAGACTCCATTTTGACATCATTAAAAAAAAAAAAAAATACATGCAACAGAATAATATGCTTTGTACAACAGTATTTACTGACAGGGTATAAAATTTTCAAATATATTCTTTGAATGTGTATGCTCTGTTCCTCAATAAATACATGTACACAAGGACAGGATTTTATTGAAGCCATCAGCATTTAACAGAACATCATACTGTAATTCTCCATTATTCAAAAGTGTGGAATCACTTCCAATATTATACCCGGTAACACAAACTATTCACCAAAGGTATGTTTTGATATTTAATATTTCAAATATTCAGTAAAGAACTGAATGAAATGATAACACAGTAATTATCCATTTACGTGTTTGTCCAGGTATCAGCTTTGACTAGGATGCAGACTGTGATACGGTACATCATTCTGGACACATGTAGAATGTCAATTTCTTAACAATGTACAGATAATTATTTGAAACCTGTCAAGTTGAAAACATTCGAATTGCTTTATTCAGGTGTCTGCAACCAAATTTGTTTTATTTTATTGAAAACACTGATTCCAAACTTTTAAACAGCAGCATATAGTATCAAGTGATGAGTGAAACATTCATGAGATCAGGGAAACAGAGGTCATTTTTCTTTTATTTCAATAATAAACAGTGTAATTATAAACAATTCATTCAATTACACTAAGCATGATCATCAATATGAAGTAAAAATATCACCATTTTTAAAATTTACAAGTTATAAGGACATGACCTGCATTTTCTTAGTTATTTTACTTCAGGCTTTTTCATTTTTGATCATTTTTAAACCGTGATATGTCGCTCTTTAACTTTAAATTACAAAATGATACCTTACCCCTAGAACTTACATCATTCCCAATTTACAGACAAAATTTAACATTTATATACATCGGTACAGTTCACCATTAAGTTACACTTTTTTCCCAAGATGTGCAAGATTAAGCAAATGTATATACTGTAGAATAAAACCAAAGAGTTTCCTTAAATAAAATGTCAAGATCAACTAAAAGAGTGCTGGTAATACAAATAATGAACTGTTCTAAAACACAGCTTACTGTACTGAATTACAAGAATTATCACCTATGCACCTGATTACTTACCCCAATCTGGAGGTAAACACCAACCTCAGTTTTCACAATTAAGACTGTGAAGAAGCTAAACCACCAAAAAAACCTTGGTTGAAAATGTTCAAAAAGCTTATCCTGTCAATTTTTCAGCTTACTCAAATCATTTCAAATATGTACATACTAAACAAATTTTCATACATTATTTGCAAAGGGAAATTCCTTATCATGTTATGATTGACTTAATGAAACGATTATGAATGTCCTAATCAAAAATGAAGGAACTATGCTGAAATATTAGTGTCTGTTCATAAGCTGCTCTTTAGAATTAGAGTGGGGTGCATTAACGAAAAAAGTTACGTAACTGACCAAAGGCTTTTAACATCCATCACGAATGTGTTCTTAACATCTTGAAAACATTTAGCCCCGCTAACAACCACTCAAACTGATCATGGAACACATGAATCACAGTTCATGATCACTATGACAATTCATGCTACATTCTAGGTGAAGGCGATATGATATGGATGAACATCCAGACGTGATAAGACCAGATATGATGTCATGACTTTAACAGTATTAGGAAATACATAAAAGATCATAGCTGCTCAATGACTTACAATAACCTTTTGGTTAATTTGGAAACAATAAAAAATTTGATTTCTTCATTAAATATAAATACGCAAACGGATTCTTTTTTACTTAACTAAATTTCCCACCTCATAAACCACAGCTCACACTTATCACAATTTGGTAAATCTGCAATGGAGTGAATTCCATCTCAGAGTAACGATGTGATACACTGCTCACTGCTAATAAAAATGACAACCGAATCATGAGCTTTGCAGGGGAATGGGGTAAAACTTCTTGCCTTCACATATGAACGGACATGGGATGTTACAGGCACTGTGACGTATTCGCTTCACAACAGGAAAAGCCTAGAAGAATCCCCCAGCGACCTGCATTTAACCTCCTTACCCTTTTGAATAAGGCTTCTCTATGGTTTATATATAAACCTATTACAGAAAGCCTATTAATGCAACAGGACTTGTTTTTCTTAGGTGCAATAAACTGTTCTTCCCTATTATGAGTCTATGATGAGTGTATTGCCAAAACACTGTGTGCAAAAACATCTGCAAAGAGGCATAATGACATGAATGTTGCTCTATTTTAAAGCTAGTCCCTAACAACAAATAAGCATTTCACACCAGATTTCACACCCAGGAAGTAAAATCCAGTGTTTTAAAGTAAAAGGCGAGTACCGTACGATACGAATTGCACAACTCTATATGAGCCTACTGGCTGATCAGTGTTCTATGCAAAGTCCTCTGCTGAATTAGACAGCTTTCAGCGGAGTCGTCCAGGGATAAATGTCAACAGAAAGAGACCAGAAATTCCTCTGCATGTAGAAAGACAAATGAGAAGCAGGACACTTAGGAAGCGCTTTGAAGACCTAAAGCATGTGAAGCAAGACAGGTTCCTTCAAACTGTACAGATGAAAAACACTGCACTGAACGGTTGGGTTCGTAGAGATCGCGTAGAGGTCAGAAAAACTGAAATGTGTTTCATTTGCTGAAGAAAGTGTAGGAAGAGAACACAAGGAGAGGATGTGGACACCAATGGTTCACTCTGTACTGATACTGTCTTCTTCCTTGCCATCTCCAAAAAGAAATAGCAATGCTGCCTGAGAAGCGATCATAGCGTTCAAAACAAGCGTTTGAAGTCTCTCCAACATTTACAAAATTTGTCCATAAGCCCAAAATACTAAGACCTTTCAGTCTTTAGTCTTTCTCTCCATCTTCACTGCTTCCTGAGTAAGACAACAGAGAAAATAAAATTAACTCAGACAACTAAAAAGAAAATGTTCAAGATTTTGGACTACACATGTAGGCTAGTGTAGTAAATATTTGAACTTACAATGACAAGATTACAATAGTTTAAGAAACAATTGAATGCATCATGAAATTTAGAAACCCTCTTTCCTTTTCTTTCGGATGTTTATGTTTAAAAATAATATTCTTCAGAACCAGCCCACAATACTGTTAGCGTCCCAAGGTGAAAACTGACTGTCCCAAATATTTAATTGCATTTGTTTACATTAGTGTTTAATACGATTAAAGAAAATGCTACTTTAATGTCCATTTCAAGCTTTCACTGTCCAAGTTTAAGCCAGTGCATGCTACAAAATGTGAATATACACAGTAGTTAGCCTGATGCTAACAAAACATCTGATGAGTAAATTCTACTTATGAAAAGAATTAAAAAAAAACAAAAAAAAAAAACAGCTTTTTCTACATGACACATTGCTATATTTAGGGCAGGTATAAACAGATCACACACTCAAGATTTTATGACTGTTCATTTTACATATTTTCCTAAAACATATTAAACATCGTCCACTAATAGACTACTTTTATCGTCTTTGGGGCACCTGTGCAGTGTTAGTCTGGAGCTTAACCCAAGAATTTTAATTTGGCCAAAAATAAGCACATACTCTATTGAATATTATAATCAATTCAAATTTACTTGAAGATTTCAAAAATCGATATAGTTGAACTGAACCCTCTGTTTGATGCATTATAATACATCGTGAGTGAGTACTGTTCCTTGCACTCAGCTAGATGTTATGTATGAGAGACTCACCTCCTTGTTCGATATCAGAGTCTGTGAGGTGGGTGAGAGAGAAGCTGGCGATGCTTGCTGGCGAGATGGAGAAGCGGGAGTATGTGGAGGAGGGGCTGGTCCAGCTCTGCTCTGAGGAGCGGTTTGCGGGGGGTGGGGAGAAGTACTTGGAAGCTGCTGTGGCTCTGCTTGCAGAGCTGTCACTGCCTGCTTTGGAGAGGAAAGACGGCTCCGCGGAGAAGTCGTCATCCCACTCAAATGCACCACCTGTACAGTAAATAAATTAGTAAGTTCACTTACTTTTCTTCAGTGGTACATTTTGACAGAAGCACTGATGTGCAAAGAACATGATGAGCACATCTGTAATTCTCATGTTACTGTACTTCTATTTTTCAGTAGTACATTGTTAACATTACCTTCTTCATCTGTGGAGCTTTCTGAGTTGGTAAACCTGTTCAAGTAGCTGGAAGAGGCCGGCGGGCTGCTAAACTCAGATGCTTGGCTGTTGGGGCCTAATGTATGATCTCCAAGTTCCTTGGTAGGGGTTTCCTGTATGGAGAGAGGTTCATTTAGCACTTATTAAAGCTTCACTATGTACTGTGTGGTATCTTTTGAGAATGTGAATTATCTACTATTGTCATCATATCTTCATCAGCATAAAGCTGATTTTGCATTTGAGACCTAAAAAAATTCAAGCTGGGCATTCTTTTTGAACCCAAGCATGAAAGGCAGAAAAAATGTGAAATTTAACCAGACACCTCTGACTTAAATGCTTATTTCAGGCTTTACAGGGTGACTTGCAGCCACACATGGAAACCATATTTTAGTATTTTTTTCCCTCCTGACTTAGTAATGTTATTTTTTTAACTATCAATTTTTCTTTAAAAAGTGCAACTTAAAAGGACTTATTAGGCCTTATAAGATATAATACGTAACATTAATTAATCCTGTCAGGTTTATATAGGCTTCCCCTTATTTCAAATGCAGTTGATCAGACGTGACTGGTGTCTGAAGTTTGCTTCTTGGGGTTTGCGCTGGAACCATGAAGCTAATGTAACCAACAAGTTTTGGAGGCTTTTACCCTACTAATGACCCACTCGCCTCAAAGCAACAACAAAGGTAACTGCCTTTGTTATTTTTATTTTTTGTAATTATTTGCTTCTCTGCTTTGAGACACATCTAAAAATCTAAAAAAGTACATGACAACTAAAAAACAGTAGCAGCAGCCACCTTTTCTTCATCTTTCTAAATAACAATACGTCATACAATTTAACAGAAATAAGAAAAATAAATGTAATTTTTTTGCCAAACTACGCCTTTTCTTCTTCAGATAAACTGCATGTTATAAGTGTGGCGAGTGTTATACCTGATCAAAGAGGTAAACAGTCACATCATCAAAGAAGGACACTGCTCTCTTGTTGTCTCCATTACTGTCCCCTGCAGTTGTGGATCTGGTGGTCTGGAGCGACTGAAGTTTGAGCAAGCTTTTCAGGTTGCAGGCGTCACTGTTATCAGACACTATAACAGGTACCGGATGAACGACATCATCCTCACTTTCAGATCCTGAGCTATGCAGTCTGTAAGCACGCATGTCATCATCCGAGTCATCACTGTTCTCATCCTCCTCATCAGCTTCCATGCCATCCTCTGATCCACCTGCCACCGCAGCCCCATCAAGCTTGCCAAGATATCTCCCTTCCATGTCAGGCTCCTTTTTCTTTGGGCCTTCCCCAGCGTAAGTCCTTGTTAGCTTTGCATGGACCACACTGTCTGCTGAAGGCTTTATTGAGGTAGGGGATGTTTCTTCGGGAGCTTCGGGGATCAAACTGGAATTAGTTTGATCTATTAAGAGATCAGATAATGTCTCTAACCTTTCATCAACAGACACTGGCTTTTCTTTATCCAAGTCCTCCTCTGTAGTGAAGACTAGCTCAGGCAGGTAAGACACATCAGCATCAGATGATTCAACAGCAGGACCAAAGTGTTCTTGGTGACCACCAGCCTTAGCTGCTACCAATTCCTCTTTAGCATCAGGGAGATTTGTAATCCCTGCTATTGATCCATTCTCATCATTTGCGGGAGAGCTCACAGGCCAAGGAGATACATCTGCAGTTCCACCATTCATCTCGTCATTCTTCTTTTCCGGTTCTTCATTGTCGGAGAAGTAAGCAGAATCTCTGTAGTTTCCCCCAATAGGTGCATTACCAATTTCTTGGTCTCCGTTTTCCTGAACATCAGGTACACTGTCCACTTCAGACACAACAATTTCTGGGGGAGCCAGCATTGTCACAGCAGGTTCCTCTGCAGTACTGCTGTCCTTCTCTTCTGAGACATCTTTCATGCTTAACTGAGAATTCCACTCAGGTGACTCAAGGTTCTCTGTTTCATAACCACTATCAGCAGTTTTGTATGGTGGCTGGAGCTTATGAACCACAGGAGTGTCCAGTGACTCTATCTGTCCCACCTCTCTGTGTATGTCTAGAGAATCTAATGAATCAGGTGTCTCAGCTGAATTCTCAACAGTTGGTAAAGGGGATGAGATGCTGTCCTCTAGAAGGCTATCCTGACTGATCTGATCCAAACAAGAGTCTGAGATCAACAGTGAAGACATATCCTGAGATACATGGTTGCCCAATAAGGACTCTTTCTGATTCACAGCTTCTGGTAACTCTGCATCTTCAACTGTCCTATTCTGATTCCCATCAAAAAGCATGTCGCTCAAGGAGTCACTTTTTGTTAAGTCTTCAGTTGGGCTACTATCTACTGTAAATTTTTCTACAGGGGAAAAAGTCTGGCTTTTCTGCTCAGAAGACTCAGCAATTCCTGTGTACTGCCCATTCTCCTCAGGGGCTCTGAGGCTTTCTTCAAGGCTGGGGGTTTTGGCAACTGTGCACAAAATGTCTGCTGTGGCACTTTCAACAATGAGCTCATGACTGTAGGCTGGATTCACAATAGCGACCTCAGCGCTCTCAGAGG